GAGAGAGAGTATGGAGTGTTGGAGGGGAAGTCAAGAGGGGTTGATAATCAGGTGAAGAGTAGCAACAGGAGGGTGGGAGAGAGAGAGAGAGAGAGAGAGAGAGAGAGAGAGAGAGAGAGAGAGAGAGAGAGAGAGAGAGAGAGAGTGATGTAACACTGTACATAGTTAGAACACTGTACATAGCCATAATGCCATTTGAAAGGTCTCTATTCCTTTGAAACTTTTGCGAGTGTAATGTTTACTTTACTGTTCATTTTTTATTGTGTATTTCACTTTTGTTTATTATCTATTTCACTTGCTTTGGCAATGTAAATATATGTTTCCCATGCCAATAAAGCCCTTTGAATTGAATTGCAAAGAAAGAGGGATGGATGGATGGATGGATGGATAGATGGATGGAGAGAGGAAAGGAGAGAGAGAGAAGGAGGAAAGGAGTGAGGGAGGGAGCCAAAAAAGCCCTCTGGAAGTGGAAGAGATACTGACGTCCACGAAGAAGCACTCAGTCAACCCACTGAATAAATCGCTGGTCCCCCTCCAGCGCAACCAGTGAGTTGGTCGGTAACATTCTGTGCAAGCTAATGCCATCTGGCAAACACTGACACCCACCACTGACTGAGACACAATGCCCCTCTGTCAGCTCACAAGAAGCTCTGCTCAATGCCAACTTAACCATTACAACAGCAAACACTCTAGCAAACCCTACAGCATCCCAACTATAAATCGACTGGTAATGGTATAGAGGATTGCTAGTCTTATGAGGCTCTTTTAACTCTAGTTTAAAGCTCTATTGTAGAGGAAACTGAGAGCCTATTCTCACTACGATAGATTGCGTAGAGATTAAGAGAAAATACCCTCGGCTAGACCTTTTTCTGTAATGTAAACTTTCGAACTTGTCACATCTCGACCGATACCTCCGGATGTAGCGCACGACACTCGCACGACAGTTGCCCCCTCCACGTAAGCCAGTGTAAACAGAATAGTCTCGTTGAGTCCAACACTAATACAAAATTAAAATTAAAACATAACAGCAGAGCAATATTTTTGAAGAAGCTGAAATGTATAGACATTTTCCTTATATTTGCGACTTGTTTATCAAGTTTTTACCTGAAATTGCAGTAACAGGCTATTACATTTTGAAATTGTCACCGTAGCAAAAAAAAATAGAAAAAGGGTAATCAGTGCTTGACTGGCTGCACTGAGCAATGTAAAAAAGCTGATCTCAACTCCCCAGTGAATTACCCACCTTTTAAATCGTAATTTGCTTTTACCATGATATTGATTTTAAAACGTTATAATGTTGTAAGGTAGGCCTACTGTACTTTTATATTCGTACGAGAGGGAATCGTTCATTTTTGATAGGCTAGCGTTACTTGATGAAGCATGTTATAGGGTGTCCAATCAAAAATGCATCTTTTGACCATGGGTAAAATTAAAAAGCATTGCATCAGCTAGGCTGGATGCTGTGCGAGAATATGTAATATTTCTTCTTGAATCTAGAGGACATAAAACAATATAGAGGTAAGCTAGATATTGATTTTGAGACATCACATGCAGTATTTTCATATTTTAGTATATTCTTTTCATATTAATGTGAAATTCCTGTTATTTTTCGAAGATTTCACACAAAAACAAGCCAATCTCTGTAAAATGTCAAAAGAGAACTGAGTTTACCACAAGCTTTTTATTTTCAAAGCCTTTTACATTTAATTCAGTTCGTGTCATGCGACCCGCAGATACAAGTTTGCAGACGACCACCACAACATGTAAAATCCTCAAAAGTTACTGTGAGAAAGCAGCACCGCTCTGTCAACAGAGCTCTGTGCTTATTACCGGATGTATTAGGTTAGGAAAGCTGACTTTTGGGATATAATGTTAATGATAAGTTAGAGAAAGACCCCACTGAGCAATTCAGAACATGAAGAATCATATTTGTCTTGGTAAAGTGTATTTTATAACATAAGGAAGTTACATTTCATCACCAAACTGCGTTTTCAACCACTCTGGGCAGAGTAGGTGGACACCCTACATCAGTGGTCAACAATATTTTCTGAATCAAGATCATTTTCTGAATCAAAATGCAAGCTGAGATCCACCGCTCAGATTTTTTTTTAAACATGACTTAAAAAACGTAAGCCTATGCAACATTAACCAATTAAAAACAGTTATGTAGCAATGAGGTTTATGCAGTAGGCTATAGGCCTAATTCATTTTCAATGTATATTAGCTATGCTTGAATTGCCCTGCCAATGTTGTTCTTCTCAGACAATTTTGAAATTATATTTAAAAAATGTAGGTAGAGTATATGATCACACTGGTAATAGATCATTTGTTGTATTACTTTTGAGGCAAAACTGAGTGAGCATAATAATTAGCTTTTTTTTTACTGGACTGATGGCCTGCATCTGATGGTTAGTCTGACGGGAGGGAGGGGCCAGCGGTGAGGCTGCCTCTCACCCGACTCACCATTCCTCCTCTCTCCCTCCCTCCGCTGATAAAAGGGGACACAGTCTTCCAACTGATGGCGAAACTCAAGTCACACTGCATTATTTCTGCCTCATGCACCAATTCATGTTGTTACTCCTATGACCAGAGAAAGTTAAATATTCCTCTATATTAAAGACACAAGCCGCTAATAATAACAACGCAAGCTTATTGAAACACTTTGCTATACTCATTCATTGTAGCTGCAGTGCTGGTTGTAGTGTGAGTGGAAGTAGGGAGAACGCGCATTGTATGGCTTATAGAAGTGTTGAACAAAGTGTTGACAGTGCTGAATAACAACTTAAACATGAACTTCATTATAAAAACAGCAGCTCTGATATATTCATTGAGTCTCTCTCTAGTCATGGTTGTAAAAGTTTTGAAATCTCACAGCATCAACTATGCCATGCGTTCGAGTCTTTCTTTTACAATCTATGGCTCGAGGAAACTGTACAGACACGGTGATCTGAGCTATCTGATTGGCCAGTGGTAGGCCTATAGGTGCACTTGATTTGCTCTCTGGGCCTGCCAGGTAGGCAGAGTTCTACCTTCAGACACATGAAATGGTTCAACATGGGAACACCTTTGCCTTCCCGGCGCTAGAGTGTACGGACAAGAAAATAAACCCTTTAATTGTCTGCACATGCTTGTGAATTGTTGCATTATTCAAGAGTGGTTTGGTTGCATTATTAAAGAGTGTAATAGGGTTAAGATGAAAAGTTGCTGGCATAGTTTAATAGTTTGTTAGTAAAAGCATGCCTACTGGCTAGTGGTTATACTGGGATATACAGTGCATTCGGAAAGTATTCAGACCCCTTCCCTTTTTCCACATTTTGTTATGTTACAGCCTTATTCTAAAATTGATTAAAACAAATAATAATCCTCATCAATCTACACACAATACCTCATAATGACAAAGCGAAAACAAGTTTAGACATTTTTGCAAATGTATTAAAAATAAAAAACTGAAATATCTTGTTTACATAAGTATTCAGACCCTTTGCTATGAGACTCACATTGAGCTCAAGTGCATCCGGTTTCCATTGATCATTACATTTGACATTTTAGTCATTTAGCAGACGCTCTTATCCAGAGCGACTTACAGTTAGTGAGTGCATACATTTTCATACTGGCCCCCCGTGGGAAACAACCATCTCTGCAGCACTCCACCAATCAGGCCTTTATGGTAGAGTGGCCAGACGGATGCCACTCCTCAGTAAAAGGCACATGACAGCCCGCTTGGAGTTTGCCTAAAGGCACCTTAAGGACTCTCAGACCATGAGAAACAACATTCTCTGGTCTGATGAAACCAAGATTGAACTCTATCACCTGAATGCCAAGCGTCACGTCTGGAGGAAAGCTGGCACCATCCCTACAGTGAAGCATGGTGGTGGCAGCATCATGCTGTGGGGATGTTTTTCAGCGGCAGACACTGGGAGACTAGTCAGGATCGAGGGAAAGATTAATGGAGCAAACTACAGAGAAATCCTTGATGAAAACCTGCTCCAGAGCGCTCAGGACCTCAGACTGGGGCGAAGGTTAACCTTCCAACAGGACAACGACCCTAAGCACACAGCTAAGAAAATGCAGGAGTGGCTTCGGGACAAGTCTCTGAATGTCCTTGAGTGACCCAGCCAGAGCCCGGACTTGAACCCGATCAAACATCTCTGGAGAGACCTGAAAATAGCTGTGCAGCAACGCTCCCCATCCAACCTGACAGAGCTTGAGAGGATCTGCAGAGAAGAATGGGAGAAACTCCCCAAATACAGGTGTGCCAAGCTTGTAGCATCATACCCAAGAAGACTCGAGGCTGTAATCGCTGCCAATGGTGCTTCAACAAAGTACTGAGTAAAGGGTCTGAATACTTATGTAAATTACATATTTCAGTATTTTTTTTATCTAAAAACCTGTTTTTGCTTTGTCATTATGGGGTGTTGTGTGTAGATTGATGAGAAGATGTATCTTTTTTTAATCCATTTTAGAATAAGGCTGTAATGTAATTTTTTTTTGAAAAAGTCAAGGGGTCTGTATACGGTACATTTCAGCTGCAGAGCAAGAATCTCCTTTGCCAAGCCCCTGAACACTCTCTCGGCACACGACTTTCCGTTGCTAATGTAAATTGAAATGTTTATGTACATATTATGTAAATTGAAATAACGTTACTGGTTACTTTAATCACTGTAATCACATTTTTCAAGTAATACGCCAAACACTAGTTATGTAGAATACTATCATAATGTGATCTTGCAGACATTGATTCAGCTTTGATCTAACTTCATTAAACAAGTACCATTCGCCAACATAGCCTGTTATCTGGGTAGCCGAACGAGTAGAGAAGACACTGTGCGTAAAATAGAGAATCCTGCACATGCGCAGAACCATCATATTTTAAGCTATCGGCAAGAGGCTTCCAGAGAATTCGAAAACGCAGCCACTCCGTTAAAATTATAATTGGAGCTAACCAATGCCAAGTTTCTAGCCATGACGCTGGGTTGGGAGTTTGGGTGGGTGTCCTACCTGACGTTGTCGTGGCGTTGGATGTAGATCTTGTGGAAGATCCTTTCAGGAGGCTTCAGGAAGTCTTCTTTCATCTCCATCGCCACGTTCCTGGGCAACAAACTCATCAGAAGCCGCTCCTGTGTGGGTGGGTGGGTGGGTGGGTGAGAGAGAGAGAGAGAAAAGGACAGAGCGAGGAGAAGGAAAGAGAGTTATACTTAAAAGTCAATCAGACTTGAGAATATGAGAGGAGAGAGTGTTGGGGGTGGTGCAGATAAGAAAAGTGAGAGACAAAAGCTGGTGGAATAAACGGAATTGAAAAACTGTGTGAATGAGTCACCAAGTGTGTTTAAAAAAAGAATATGAGAGAAAGAAAGGAGCCATGCATAAAGGAGCCATCATGCACATGATTTTAACCTTATGCCTTCTGTTATTGTGTGTTTGTGTATGTGTGTGTGTGTGTGTGTGTGTGTGTGTTTATACCTGTTTCTCATTCTCATCCTCCATGCGTAGCCTCTCCTCGATGCAGTTGCGTGCCTGTAGGAAAGCCTTCCTCTGTGCTCGCTCAGTCAGGATGCGCACAAACAATCCAGAGAGGTTCACACTGGTAAACAGCACCATGTTGGCCACCAGCTGCAAGCACAAACAACACAACATTATGGCACTTAGCATATGCTTCATATGCTTTTATCCAAAGTGACATAGGATCCCTGCAGAAATTGAACATGTGACCTTAGTATTGCTAGTGCCATACTCTCACCAACTGAGCTACATAGGACTACGCTCGCAAGTTAAGACTGTCTTAAATACCAAATACATGATGCAGTTTTTTTCCAAAATCCTAGGGGAAACACTGGGATATTTATTTTCTAGAACGAGAAGGTCAGAGCCGCCAAGACGTCAACCTGACTGTTTTCAATTTTGTAATTTCAATAACTTCCTTTCAATAAAAACCTTGAACCGACCTGTCCTTGACTTTTCCAAAATATGTGTATTTTACATTCACAGAGAAATCATTAATATTTAGTTTAGGAAGGTCATATAAAACATGATACGAAGACAATTTATTTCAAAATAACAGAATAGCATGTTTTGAGTTTTCTGTATGTGTGCTTATTAGCCAAGGCTATATGGCTGTTCCATGCCAATTAAATCAACTTGTTAATTTAGCAGACATAACACGCTTATATTCATTTCCCTGCCCAGCCACAGTCAGCACATATATTTTACAGTAAGAATATAAAGGAATATAACAGAATAAAATAGAAAATATTTTTTTCCCAAAAGGCTATTGCTGATTGTCACCAGTACTCACATGAGGAAGAGTGGAGCCGTGGTTAGACTAGGACAAAGTTATATATAGCATATTCTGTGCTATTTTGAGAGTTGTTTGGCAAAACTAGGTGAATTTGGAAACCTTAGAATCTGCTCTTTCCGATAGGGTATGGCAATCAAAACATATTGCCTGCATGGACCTCTGTAGGATGATTTGAAAAAGCGTTTTATGGTAAGCTCCATTCCCTTCTTTGTCAATGGACGCTGTCAATGCACACTGCGCAGGTCATCAGTCTCTGTATTCTCAATTTGGCAATTGATAATGTTATCACCCATCAGACTATTGTCTATTTAATCTTGTCTTTAGACCACATCTATTATTATATATGTGAAATAATTTTCAATATACTGTAGTTTAGGTGTGGTTTGGATGGGCCATTAGCTATTTGAACATTTAAAAAAATGAATTAGTTTAGCTATTTATTATGGAATATTTACACAATTTAAATATTAACGGTCAAAATGACTGTCATGGCCATTCTAGTAGTTATGGAATTTCGGCACTCCGAGTGTTAAAAGGCCATTATGTTGACAATCTGAAATATAGATTTAAACAATGCAATTTAAAACAAACACTGTATAGCCTCAAAACATGGTTAAAAGTATAATTGTATATCTCATGGATGGTCAGTCCTTGCAGTCCTCTGTCTATGAATTATATTGTGGTTACATTTTCCAGTCCCATCCCTCAGCTATTTAACAAATCAGTAGCTGGGTGCGCCGCTTTGTTATTCTTTGAACTGCTGATTGCCCCTTTAATGCATAAAGTGCCAGGTGAAACTGAGGTATCAGAAACCACCCACCTGGCCTAAACACATTACACGCTGATGGACTGATGCATAGTATAGATAGAGGAAGAGAAAATAGATGTACTGTACATTCACAACCATTAATTTGAAGCCAAAAATTAAGTATATGCTTTGTCTTGTCATCACACATTTGGAAGCAATCAATCAGTGTGTGTGTGTGTGTGCATTTGAGAAACATCACAGAGGGGTAAACGTAGGTGGGCTGTGCTTCCAGCTGAGTGTAGGTCAGGTAGGAGAGAACAACAGATAAACAGAGCCTGATGTGTGAACTGAGTATTTTCCATGTGGCTGAGCATGACTGGGCCTGGAGAAGTGACCTTTACAACCCAAACACACACACGCACACATGCACATACACCCACACCCATGCACGAGCACACACACAATCATACACTGTATAATGTCAGCCTGCCTTCCTCACCAGGAGCAATACTCAACAAGGAGTCATTTATTCTACAGACCCTGATTGGTGATTCGCCACTGGTGTTTACAAGGTCTACCGTAATATATACTGAACAGAAATATAAACGCAACATGTAAAGTGTTGGTCCGATTTTTCATGAGCTGAAATAAAATATCCCAGAAATGTTCCATATGCACAAAAATATTAATTTATGTCAAATGTTGTGCACAAATTTGTTTACATCCCTGTTAGTGAGCATTTCTCATTTGCCAAGATAATCCATCCACCTGACAGGTGTGGCATATCAAGAAGATGATTAAACAGCATGATCATTACACAGGTGCACCTTGTGCTGGGGACAATAAAAGGCTACTCTAAAATGTGCAGTTTTGTCACACAACACAATGCCACAGATGTCTCAAGTTTTGAGGGAACGTGCAATTGGCATGCTGCCTGCAAGAATTTCCAACAGAGCTGTTGCCAGATAATTTAATGTTAATGTGTCGACTATAAGCTGCCTCCAACGTTGTTTTAGAGAATTTGGCAGTACATCCAACTGGCCTCACAACTGCAAACCACGTGTAACCACGCCAGCCCAGGACCTCCACATCCGGCTTCTTCACCTGCGGAACCGTCTGAGCAGAGGGAGGGGGGTGCTTAGGAGTATTTCTGTCTGTAATAATGCCCTTTTGTGGGGGAAAAACTCATTCTGATTGGCTGGGCCTGGCTCCCCAGTGGGTGGACCTGGCTCCCAAGTGGGTGGGTCTATGCCCTCCCAGGCCTACCCATTGCTGCTCCCCAGCCCATTCGTGAAATCCATTGATTAGGGCCTAATTAATTAATTTCAATTGACTGCTTTTCTTATGAACTGTAACTCAGAAAAATCTTTGAAATTGTTGCGTTTATATTTTTGTTCAGTATAGGTAATTGATAGACTGGTAAGAACAAGCAGCTCATTTAGACAACACAATACGGGCAACAGCAGCCAATAAGTTAATTAGTTATACAGCACAGTACTTTACTGTACAGTACTGTACTGTAGGGTGTGTGGTTGTATTTGATGAGGACAAGCTGATACTGTCAACATGACTAGCAACTTTCATAAGGTACAAGAAATCCATGGTCTCATGAGACTGCGATGCAGATGACGAGACTCAAATATCATGATCAAACATGATTGGTGTATCGGTGGACTCTTCTAACAGAATTTAGCAATGCTGTAGTGGCTAATCAGGAGAGGGGAAAGTGTCCTTCTACGTCCTTCTCTCTCTGACTGAGGTTTATTGGTTTGTTTACAACACACATAGCCTCACTGTGACCCTGAAGGGAATGGGGCCTATAGGCTTGTTTGGTGGTTGTTGGTAGGTTGAAACACAGGTCCTTTACGGTCATACCACTGAGCTAATCTCCAAGCTTAATGGATTAGCTTTCCCTTCCTAGGCTGTACTCTGCAACTGCTAGCACTGTCCTTCACACACCGTCCTTCTGGCCCACGTATAGGCTACAGGAGCAAGATATTATATGCCACATGCTAAAGAAATAAAGCAAACTAGAGCTGAGACCAAGAGCGATTGAGACAACTTGTTGAGACTGTCAAGACATTTTTGGTATTTCTGTCCTGAAATAACTTATCTGGCTTTGCTTGACCTTTTATTAACTGTCGGCCTACTTGGGCTCTGCATCAAGGACTTTTCAGCCTAAATGGACCAGATATTCCCTATGTATGTGAATCCTGTCTGAGCACAGTCTGTCTGCTCTCTCTGTGTGGTCCTGTTTGTTTTGTTCAACTGTGTTGGCAGTGTGAGGATGATATGAGGTTGGGTCATATTATTAGACATACAGTGCATTCGGAAAGTATTCAGACCCCTTCCCTTTTTCCTAATTGTGTTACCTTACAGCCTTATTCTAAAATGGATTAAATAAAAATGTTCCTTAGTCAAACTGCACACAATACCCCATAATGACAAAGCGAAAACAGGTTTTTAGAAATGTTTGCAAACGTATAAAAAAAAAAAAAAAAAATACCTTACAGAATTATAAATAATATAATTTCCCTATTTTTCTGCATACAATATACTGTAGCTTAGTATTTGAATTATTTATTTTATAGCTTAGTATTTGGATTATATATTTTATAGGCCTACAGTCATTATTGCTCATCTTTATCAAGGGTGTCAATAATTTCGCCACGCAAATCACGTACCCAAGTCAAATCAATCACACAGGCAATTTTGAAGTCAATGGTGTGAGACAGACGCAGCTCTATTGCCTATTTGTATGTCCCCGCTACCATTTTAGTAACATGAAACTATTAGCATACATCAGAAGCAATGTCAACATGGAAAGCCGGCTAATGCTTTGACTGACCAGACCTGGGCCCGGTTTCCCAAAAGCATCTTAAGCCTAAGTTAATCGATAGAACCTTCCTTCGTATGAGCATCGTTAAATCTCCGAGCTGTTTCCCAAAAACATCGTTATTAACGTTGCACATGAAAATACTAGTAATCTAAGGCCTGCCTCAAACCACTCGTTGAACAGCCAGCCAAGCGCGTCGTTAGTTGCCCTCCCCCGTAACTTTATACACAGAAAGATCGCCGCTAAACATAGAATCACATGGTTTATCCATCTCTCTGTGACCGCTGATAACTTCAGAACAAAGTTGACTCCAAATACAAAGTTGCCAATGTCTTTGCAATTGATACAAACAAGCGAAGTATAAAAATATACTTCAAATGAAAACCGAAATGACTGCATTAAACTATAGCCTAAACAGTAGGCTATAGGCCTATTTCAATCATATTGAAATACATTTCAAGTTCAATCAATTAAGTTCTATTTTGATACTTGTAGGTTACTGTATGTAACTTGTTTCAATACATTATATGATGTGTAGCCTAAAATCTATGATTTAGTGCTGGGCACAGATGTCAATTCAACGTCTATTCCACGTTTGTTCAACGTTATTCCATTGAAATTACGTGGAAACAACGTTGATTCAACCAGTGTGCCTAGTGTGAATAAGCCGCCTCAATATTTGCAGCCGTAGCTGGTAATAGGTGCTGATCCGTCGTCAGTATTGTGAAATAATTTTAATGTTAAGGTAAGATTTGATTGGAGAAAGCTGATATGAGAGCAGCGCTCCCTTTCTTTCGATTTTATCAATTGACACATGCTCCAACAACGCACTTAGCGACATTTCTCTCTGCGTGGTGTTTTGGGAAAAGCATGTTACATCTTCGGCCATTGTAGGAAAGATAAATCGTTAAAACACTAGTAAACCTAAATTCCAGGCCGTGCTGTCCTGTCTGTAGTGGTGATCACAATCAGCCACAAGTCATTGAAGTCCGTGATTAGATTGAGCTACTGAGCACCTCTCCGCACTTCATCTCACACAGCTTTGCACTTTCTACTATAGCCTAGTAGGCTATTACAGATATAAAACCGAAACATATTTCATTTTAGAATTTTCACATTGTATGCCTTTCATATGCAAAGCAGACGCACAAGCAGCGCTCAGACTTTGTATGAAGCGCGCGCCAGTCGGTGAGCCCCGCCGGTCGCTGTCCACTTGATGGTGCTGAACTTCATTTTGACAAACTCATTGCTTCCTCTCGCTTTTCCCTTGTCTGTTCTTCATAAAATCACCATTAGCCATGCTTCGAATAGCCTAGCCTGGTGGTGAACTATGTATAGCCTACATGCACCCACTACTTACCGTTCTCCATAATTTCTGCGTCTCGACTGTCACGGAGGTGGCTGTCACAATTATATGGGAGATGGCAATCATTATTCCAAACATTACTGCTAACAGAGTCCGCACGGGCAGTAGCGAGTAGGCAACGAATGTAACCAGCATGAGCTGCCACATGCCCTGCTCCGGGTTGGTCGGGGGCTCCAGCCCCACCGCGCCGAGGGAGAAGGGACAGCAGAGGAACGAGAAGGTGAAGCCGAAGAGCAAGGTCAGGTTGACGATCTGCTGGAGCTGGGTCACCTGAAGGTACTTGACATTGGTGACAATGAAGAGGGACACGAAGACGATACAGTGGACCGGATGGGACCCCTTGGAGATGGTCAGATTGGGGCCGGACAGCAACTCCACCACGGCCAGCGTCGATGCCATGACGATGAGCACCGCCAGGGCTTTGAGAGTGGACGTCTGCTCCAGCTTTAGGTTGTAGTTCTGGAACAGACACTCCAGCTCCTTGCAGTCGAACTCATCCTCGCATGCGATGGTAGTCAGAGGGACACCGGGTGGACAGTGGCTTTTCTTCCGCCGGGTTTTGACTTTCTGAAACGGAATTTCCTCCATGTCAGGGCCATTCATAAACGAGACACTGGACCACACAGCGCGCCACAGACCGACGCCGGGAAAAAAATCAAGTACACAGCCGTCTAGAGAGGAGCGCGTCCCGGATCCCTACGGCTGGAGGACCGGCCTCCCACTGTAATCTCCTGACGCGCGACATGCACTATCCACAGGTTGAAATCTGTTGTTCGTCGAGATCAGTTACCAAGGAAACGTGCAAGCATTTTCTCCCCTTGAGAAAGACTCCAAAAAGTATTTTTCGTTTCACTTGGGCAAGGACAACATTGTGGAAACAGAGTCCCGCACACGACGGTCGAGTTCTGAATCTAACAGCTTTTTGCAAGGCTCAGATTGGATCACGCATGCGCATTATGAGGTGGAGATAAGACACGTCTCAGTAACTCAGACAACAAGACAAAACAGATTTGAGCGGTATGGAGGACCAAACCTGCCAAAATTACAAATAAATAAATAAATGCACATATAAATTGATAAATAAATGAATAAATAAATCCACACATAATTTAATAAATGAGCAAGTTAAAACAAAACTACTGACTAAAATTAATGAATTTTCTCTACATATCTATATTTAATTATTTATCTATGTATTATCTAATTATTCTAACTTTAATTCATTTTATTCATGTATATTCATTTATTTATTTCTGTATTTCTTCCTCTAATATGATAATGAGGGGGTGTCAATCAAACGTCTGTGGGTGGTATCTAACACACCATTGGTTGATCAATGTCAGCGTTGCTCGATAACTTTTGCCTGCATTTGCACCACCTATTTGAAAATAGCCACAATAACAATTAGCCTCAATTTTGGAATTTGTGGTTCACCTTCAAAATAAAAGTCACGCATTGAAACATGCAAGCTAATGCAAATAGTGGAAACATGCCATATTTGGACTAGTAAATGCTTAACAAGCTTGGAATGTTTGTTATATAAATAACAAAATACAATAATTAGTTAATTTGATTTAAAAAAACATTTAAATCAGTTGAAATCGCACTGTGGGCGCATTAGACTTCAGAATTTAATTGGGGGCATACTGTTTGCATTGTACAGCCTTGCCTACTGCTCTTGAGTCCATGAAATGTTCACTGTGAAGAGTTTACACAAATATTAGCTTCGTACCTCATATAGCAGGACTAGAACTGTGGGAAATCACCTCACTAATGCCTATTGTGCATTCTGAACATTCATATTGCAATGAACAGCTTTACCTATAGATCTTGGCTCCATGAAATTGGGTATCAGCCTACTCAGTGACACCAACAGAACACACCTGTGAAGATTTTACACAAATATGAGCATTGTAGCAAATATTGCAGGACTTTGACTGTGGGAAATCACCTCACCAGTCAGTCTATTGTGCACATTGGACATTCATATTGCAATGTAGAGTTGTGGTCAAAAGTTTTGAGAATGACACAAGTATTGGTCTTCACAAAGTTCGCTGCTTCAGTGTTATGAGATATTTTTGTCAGATGTTACTATTGTCAAGGCGTGCTGAAGGTGGGTGTGGTGTAGGAATCAAGCGCAGGACGCAGAGGCTCAGTCCAAAGGCTTTAGTGCAATATGTATATTATATACACAACAGAAGCCCGAAGGCAAAAATACAAGACACACAGGCGACAAAACAAAAGACGCACAAACATGTGCAAAACAACCCTCTCCAAAACACTGGAGGGAAAATGTAGCTCCAAACACGAAACAGAAGCGCAATCACACACAACGACAAGCACACACAACGAGAACTAAATAGGACACTAACAAGACACAGGTGTACAACATCCAGACAAAACCAAACGAACATGAAACATAGATCGGTGGCAGCTAGTACTCCGGGGACGACGACCGCCGAAGCCTGCCCGAACCAGGAGGAGGCGCAGTCTCGGCCGAAACAACTATGGTATACTGAAGTATAATTACAAGCATTCCATAAGTGTCAAAGGCTTTTATTGACAATTGCATTACATTTATGCAAAGAGTCAATATTTGCAGTGTTGACCCTTCTTTTTCAAGACCTCTGCAATCCGCCCACCTACTGACCGATGGCAGCCCATTCTTGCATAATCAATGCTTGGAGTTTGTGGGTTTTTGTTTGTCTCTTGAGGATCGACCACAAGTTCTCAATGGGATTAAGGTCTGGGGAGTTTCCTGGCCATGGACCCAAAATGTCGATGTTTTGTTCCCGAGCCACTTAGTTATCACTTTTGCCTTATGACAAGGTGCTGGACAATGCCTTTTCATGCTGGAAAAGGCATTGGTCGTCACCAAACTGTTCTTGGATGGTTGGGAGAAGTTGCTCTCGGAGGATGTGTTGATACCATTCTTTATTCATGGCTGTGTTCTTAGGCAAAATTGTGAGTGAGCCCACTCCCTTGGCTGAGAGGCAACCCCACACATGAATGGTCTCAGGATGCTTTACTGTTGGCATGACACAGGACTGATGGTAGCGCTCACCTTGTCTTCTCTGGACAAGGTGTTTTCCGGATGCCCCAAACAATCTGAAAGGGAATTCATCAGAGAAAATTACTTTACCCCAGTCCTCAGCAGTCCAATCCCTGTACCTTTTGCAGAATATCAGTCTGTCCCTGATGTTTTTCCTGGAGAGAAGTTGCTTTTTTGCTGCCCTTCTTGACACCAGGCCATCCTCCAAAAGTATTCGCCTCACTGTGCATGCAGATGCACTCACACCTGCCTGCTGCCATTCCTGAGCAAGCTCTGCACTGGTGGTTCCCCGATCCCGCAGCTGAATCAACTTTAGGAGACGGTCCTGGCGGTTGCTGGACTTTCTTGGGCGCCCTGACACCTTCTTCACAACAATTGAACCTCTCTCCTTGAAGTTCTTGATGATCCGAAAAATGATTGATTTAGGTGCAATCTTACTAGCAGCAATATCCTTGCCTGTGAAGCCCTTTTTGTGCAAAGCAATGATGACGGCACGTGTTTCCTTGCAGGTAACCATGGTTAACAGAGGAAGAACAATGATTACAAGCACCACCCTCCTTTTAAAGCTTCCTGTCTTTTATTCTAACTCAATCAGCATGACAGAGTGATCTCCAGCCTTGTCCTCGTCAACACTCTCACCTGTGTTAACGAGAGAATCACTGACATGATGGCAGCTGGTCCTTTTGTGGCAGGGCTGAAATGCAGTGGAAATGTTTTTTTGGGATTAAGTTCATTTTCATGGCAAAGAGGGGCTTTTCAATTAATTGCAATTCATCTGATCACTCTTCATGACATTCTGGAGTATATGCAAATTGCCAGCATCAAATCTGAGGCAGCAGACTTTGTGAAAATTAGTATTTGTGTCATTCTCAAAACTTTTGACCACGACTGTACAGCCTTACCTATGGATCTTAGGTCCATTAAGTAGGGGATCAGACAACTAAGTGAAACCCAAAGAACACAACTGTGAAGAGTTTACACAAATATTAAGGTCATAGCTCTTATTGCAGGACTTTGACACCACTGTGAAATGAAACCACTGTGAAATGAGCCACATTCGCTCACCAGTCAATAGGCTGAATAGGGAAGCGATTTCCCACAGTCAAAGTCCTGAAATAAGAGCTAAGACGCTAATATTTGGGTACACTCTTAACAGTTGTGTTCTGTGGGTGTCACTGAGTAGGCTGATACCAGAGATGTAGTGCTGCCATAGCGCGGTGGAGCAGCGCTCCCTCACTTTTTTTTTTTGATTCGAGAATACACACAGCTGGTAAAAATATTTCTGGAAAACAAAAATTCCATGAAAACGATAGATTGACAAACTAAATATGTAGACTATAGCTGCTTATAGGTAGATAAATGGTGGTTTCTTCCCTGTCCTCTCTCTCTGGCGGTGGCGTGAATGACGAATAACTGTAGGCGTGTGTGCAGAGGCCAGTCGGTCGGTTTGACCACTTTGAGCTGGCCAAATCTGACGTAACAAGGACAGCCACAGACAGAAAACTCTACCAGTGGTTGCTAAAACGGCTGTCCTCAAAACAGTTTGTTATGGAATTGGGGCTTATGTAGGCCTACGACACACTAGTCATAGGCCTACATCTGAGTGCATTGCTTACAGAAACATACCACCTCAATTGCGTATGCAGACAAATTGATCCACCGCGTGAACCTTATCATCACACCAACGAGATCTAGGATCCAAATTCTCAGCGTTTCTGCCTTGATGTTCATAAAACTCCACGCGACCTCTCTTGCGCAGTGGAACCCAGAACGATATGTGACCACCTGGTTACGGTGCTGTCCTTTCACCACCATGATTCGAAGGGCGGTCAAATTGCTTAAAATAACCCTCATCAAGATCTGTTGCCTACGCCTAATAGTCATACTCATCACTTATTATTACAAATAGAAGATTATCACTCCTCACAATGGTGCTCATTTAGTAAAGTTAGATCAAATCTGAATAAATGTCTCGCAAGATCACATACTGATTCATTAGTATTTTACATAAAATAACCAAATATAATAGTATAAAGGCTACTGTAGCACAGTAGTCATATAATACAGTATGTCACACCAAAAACACCTTCTCAGTTATTTATTATCTGAAGCTTAATTGTCACATTTATTTCCTTATGCGGTCAAAATGTAACAGTGCATGCAACTAGGCAGGATATATGCTTTGATTCAAACAAAATAGGCCTACAAGAAAGACTTACAGTGTTATTACCATCTGCTTTAATTCTCTCACGAAACAGTAATTCAAGAAGATCTAAATGCATATTCCCATGAAACTGATTGAGATCAAATGATTGGCAAGTAGTTTGGACATTTCACCGGTAAAACGTGAAGAATAATCATTCACAATTAACAGTGATGATGGCCTATTTTGAAATCAGGTATGCCTAACTTGGTGTTTCAGGGTATTAAAAATAGAAAAACATTTTCTGACAATATGTGTGGGCATAGGAAGACGTTGTAATTGGAAGATGCATTTTATTCATGGGCCTATTCTACAATTATATTCAATAGGCTACACCTGTCGGTACAAACTTTGATTGAGAAATGATGACATCATAGAAAAAATATGTTGCGCTCTCTCACCTAAAAAAAACAC